GAGTGACAGAGAGTGCGAAGGGAAGAATGGCGATCAGACGCCATTCCGCAATGGTAGCTGTGCAATAAAACACGACAGTGCGAGGAGGTGAGAGAGCATCATATCTATCTACGAGAGAACGTGTGACAGAGCGAGCGAAGGGAAAAATGGCGATTAGACGCCATTCCACATTGTTAGCTGTGCAATAAAACACGACAGTGCGAGGAGGTGAGAGGGCATCATATCTACGCACGAGAGAACGTGTGACAGAGAGAGCGAAGGGAAGAATGGTGATCAGAAGCCATTCCACAATGTTAGCGCTTCAATAAGACATTTTCCAATATTTCATACGTATTTAGTCGCCTGATTAACGTAGTCAGTGATGCTAACTTTTCGGATATTTATTAAACGTTAAAATTAATTCAAGTCTTCTTAACACAAATGTTGTTTATTATTTATTTATTTAATTCATTTTTTTGTTTTTTCCTTTTTTGCATATACACGCTTACATGTTGTGTACATGTTTTACTTTACTGTGTTAAACATTAAAAAATATACAATTTTCAACACTTTCTACAATTACTACGATATTATAATTCTTTCTTGTTCTTCTTTTTTGATTACTAACGTATTTGTTTATGTGTGAAGATTAAATTGAATTAATTACATATACAGGAAATAAAAAAGATTGTAATAAAACAAGTTAGCGAACAAATCGTTCAAAATTTCAATCATGTTTTATATGAAAAAACAAGTTGAGAGAAAATAAAAGTTCTATTAGCAATTGATAACCAAAAATAAAAAAAAAATAAAAAAAATTCATTTTAAAGTAAACTGATTCTCCAAATTATTATTGTATTTTTTGTATTTTTGTATTTGTTTTTTTTTTTTTTTTTAACACAATTTACATACATAAGCACTTATTTTATAAAAATGTAAATGTTGAAAGAAAACATTGAAAATACGTCATAACATTATAATTGTTGTTGTTGTTTTTGTTGTTATTATTATTTTTCTTGGTAATATACTCTACGGGATTTATAGTTGATATACACATAAAATATAGTTTAACTGCGTGCCAGCATTCCATTGATCATAATATTGGCCAAAGCATTTCGTCTTTTGCGCCAGCCACCCATACCTTGTGCATGATATTGCAACTGTGTATACCATTGTTTAGTGCGTACATTGTCCTCAGCCTGCGTGAAAACGGTAACAATTGAAATATGAGTAGGATGTAGAAATAAAAAACAAAAAAAAATAAATAAAAAACCAATAAATTTTTTTGTTTTTCCCCAATAAGTTTTCTGGAGTAATTTTTGCATACTTTAAATATGAATGTATCCTTCGATGAGATCTCTTGTATCTCAAAGTATTCATCCCAATCGGCCTCACTGCATACGACACATCTGTCCAGATATAATGGTTCACGTATCAATGTATAACGTCCGCACTTTTCTTTGACCACCAACAATGAAGCTTCTCGTATTCCGGTATGCTTCGGGAAATTCAGTTTATCTGACATGACTTTTTCTGCTTTATAATTGGCACTTGGCTGCCCACAAGCAAATGAATTCACACACGAGAATATTGTACGCGAATGCACGCGATTGTGCGACCGTATATATGTTGACATAAGTATTGTGACAGTTTGCATTGAACAATTGCAGCATTGAAAGTGTTGATAAAATGAAAAAAAAAAAAAAATGAAAAAAAAAAGAAAAAAAAAATAATAAAAAAATATACACAAAAAGGGAAAATAAGCGAAACAAAGATATACAATAATAAAGATATAGTGCGAGAAGGGGGAAAAAAGAGAAAAAATATATAAATACTATGTCCTTGGGCGAATTTTCGACATCCCTACCCATTTATCTACCTAGTTTTAGCTTGTAGGCCTTTTAGGCGCTCCCTTTAGTTGTTATTATCATTCCGTCTGCAATATTGCAGCTTTCTCCATAATTCCTAACCTTTACTTTAGTAGAAAATTAATTAATTTTAAGAGAGGAGATAATTAAAGCAATAGAATAAAGAGAGAGAGAGAGAGAGAGAGAGGGGATGAAACAGAAAAGAAGAAAGATATCTAGTTTACGAGCAATACTTTGCCAATTATAATTTTGATTATTTTGAAGCAGCCTCCACGAAACCGAAAATGCATATATATTTACATCATTCAATCCATTCGAACCCATGTAAACTTACGAGTCGATTATGCGATATAAATCCGCCTGTCCGCCTGCCCTATGGATATTGTAGACACATTCGCGGCATAAGCTTAAGTTTAACTTAAGCATATCATCATAGACGAATACGCATCGAATATGGGCCACGCCCGTAGTGGATAAGAATTAAAATTAAAAACACGATAAAAATATATGCCAACCTCATCTATATATTCCGGACAAAAATCATTATCAGAATCGAACTTAGCTGACATTCTCGGAAGAGATATATATATATATATATATATATATATATATATATATATTTATTTATTTTAATCTAATCATTGTATTAATTCTCTCTTATTGTTCTCTGTTGCATATTACAAACGGATAGATGGAAGTTTATATGCCTTTCGTAATGTAAGTAACAGAAAGTGTATGTAGAAGTGTATAGAAAAAAGTACGATCTAGTAAAAGGCTTTTATGTGATTCTTTTTGAAATTTACACTTCGGGGTGTTTGTCATATCGTTGGCCTTTGTTAGATGTAACAAAAATTTGAATTGCTGAGCAACAGTAGAAAATATGCAAAAAGTTAGCATTAAAATATTGTCGTTTCGCCGCTTCGATAATCGTTTGTAACAAAGGATTGTGAAATGTTATGCTTTAGCAGCAAAGTCGTGTAAACGTTTCAATTTCAATTTCAATTTTTTGCAAATTTTAAAATTTTATTCATGCAATATGTGCATGAAGGCACTTGATTTATGCAAAAATTTCAAATTTTGTAAGGAATCATCGTTTTGGCTTATGTCATTTCCAAGCAATTGCTATTTTAAACATTATTACTGGCCATAAAGAAAATTTGCTCAAAGTTATTAATTCTCAAAAGTCCCTTTGACGTCAGTATTTATGAAGAAAATTTAAATTTACATAATTGATTAATACATTATATACATACATATTTATATATATATATATGTATATATATATTTGTATATGTATTACATATATATATGTATATATATATATATATATATGTGTCGCAAGGAAATTGATAATATATCGCATAGTTTCAAGTTTGCTGAGAGGTCAATAAACATACACATGCACACACACACACACACACACACACAGTTATAAATATTAAAAACAAACTATCATTTCGTGCTAAGCATTCTAAAGTGAGATAAAGACAAATTTAAGCCAATGTTGTCAGAGCATATCACAACAAAACACCGAAACTATTGAAACTTTACTGATAGCTTACTGACAGGTTAAGTGTTTTAAAAGTGTTTGCTTAAAAACAAACTCTACGTATGAAATGCTTGTCCATTCACTTGATAGCATTAGTTTGGTTCCTGCGAGAAATTAGGCGTGGATAAGTTGGAGGGGGGGGAGATGATGATGGTTGTGAAACGAAGACTTTATGCCATTTGTTCGCGCTTACCTTTCCGTTTGTAACCAGTAGAGCATTTACCGGTGTTAGTTTGATGGTGCGAGCTTTTTTCCAATTGCTATCGGTCGGTTGCGTATACAACAGTTTACCTTCCATGGCGAAACGTACTTCATCGTGATTCCATTCAAGCACATCGATAGCCATTTTCCGTAGTTTGATATTTATCATATCGATTTCACAGGAAGCACGTCGATTTGGACTTGAAGACGAGATACGACGCCAAAGTTTCGTTGGCACATCTTTTGCTTCCTGATTGATATGATTCAAATGTAATTCAATTTTTTCCTGTGCCTGCTTAAGCTGGTCACGTCCCTCTAGATGAGCCGGTGTCACTTTATATAAACGAGCTAACAGCAAAGGATATTTGGTAACACGTTGCACTGGTACCTATATATATATATATATATATATATATATATGTATATATACAACAGGTTGAGGTGTGCGAAAAAAGAAAAAAAATGAACAGAAAAAATGAACAATGTTGAGTATGAATACTCGATTGTAAAGCTCATCGCACATAGCGATACGTAAATGCATGTTTCATGACGTTGGAGACAAAAAATGTCTTCCAATGAATAAAATTTACCAATGACGAATTTTTTATTCCATTCTTTTTTTTTTTATGATAGAATTTATTTTTTTTTTCCTATTTTTGTAATTTTGTTACAAGTTACTTACCATCAGGAATGAATTGAGATTCATACGTCTTAGGACAGCATTTTCCATTTGAGAGACCTTCAGAAAGATTCGCAATAATTCCTTCTCTTTCTCAAGATTGGCCAATAACAGACTGGCTGCGGCTTGACGTACGCAATAACTTTCGAAGGCATGCAACATTTGCGTAGATTCCAGGAATATTTTACCAATATTCACCGTAAGCAGATCATCGTCACCCTGCTCCAGAGCTATATCAAGGGCGTCACGCATACGCTCAGCAAGAGTTTGATTGTTCTCAAGCAATTCTTCGGTATTTAAGAAGATTGCGGAGAGCTGCTCTTGTGTAAGCAGACCGGCTACTAGCATAGGCTGACAAAACTCTTCGAGTATGATTTGCAGGTCTCGACCGTACTTCTCTTCCGTTTCCACAATTTCAGTTATAATTTCTTTGCGTTCAATACGTTTTTTGCCGCACTTACGACACACCAGAGGAGCAAACAGAACTCCATCTTCACCCATTTGCGTTTCTACGGGTCCATCACAGTCTTCACAAAGATGCAACGGACTGGAGCAGACTTGCTTAGTTGCAGATAGCGACGAATTCTGATTGCTTTGGAATTTGCTCCGTGAACTTTTGCTAGTTTCTGAACCCACTCCCGAATCATTACGTTCTATATCACTGGCTGCCCCCTTATTGCGTAAAAGCATAAAACTGTTGGCCGGGGGAGGTGATAAAGAACTCATGGTACTTTGGTTATCTTCCGAAGAATCACTTAGAGCTGACGATCTAGAGCTAATAGTATCCAATTTCTTTTGGTCACGTTTACTTAAATCGCTAACCGTATCGAGAGATTCCTCCTCAATAATGATCGGATTAGAAGTACTTAATGGATAACTGAATGGTTCTTCCTCTTTCACAACACCCCTTTCCTTCGCATCTACTAAATAGGAGAGTATATCATATTTTGAAGCTCCTTCGAATATAGAACGAGTAGCTTTTTTTTCTTGTTCCGCATCATTTACAGGTGGCGCCGTTAAAGGTAAGGGTGGAGGAATATCTGAGATTTCCTCATAAATTGGATCAGTAGTCAAGCGTATCGATTCGTATTGATGCTCGTCGTCTTCTGTATCGTGATTTAAATTTTCTTCCATCGTAGCAGTTAATTCAATTTCGGCAAGAGTGGCATCGACTAACATTTGATAAAATTTGGAGCGCGTTTCTTGATTGCATGTATCATCGTCCATAAGCGAAATAATTTCACTTGAGCAGCTCTGATAGCAATCGGACTCGTTATTGTCAAATTCGAACATTTCATAATTATGAGCTGAGGCGAAACTATTCGCCGAACTTATGCTGCCTCGATTCGACAGACGCTCTTCATCTTTGGTGGGAACTTGCAATAGAGTTGCTTGATTATTTTCCATAAGCTTGTGAGCTCTCTCTTCTTGAATCTTTTTCAAAGATAAAGTAATTAATCGATTCATATCGTCGCTATCTTTGGTACCAGACATATCCACGGAGTTTCGTGAGTCTTGCAAGCGTTTCAATGAGTTTTCGATGAGTTCAGCTACTGTCTCGGTTTCTAAGCCGTCGGCTACTTGGCTTAGCATGGGATCTTCTAATAGTTTGGCTATAAATGAATCATTTTCCGGTGTTTTAATTTTCGGAGATCTTAACGGTGAAGGAGGCGATTGAGGAAGCAGTTGAATATCTGTCTGACCGTCTTTCATTTTTTTGCTGCGCAGTAGATCTTGATCGCTGGGCGCATCTTGACGTCCGCAAATGTGAGGTACCAAGTTCATTTTTACTGCTTCTACAGGATTACGTAATATCTTAAGCAACTCTTCTTCATGAGGCAGCCATTTAACATTAATTTCCTCATTAGGGCTTTCGATTGTTGTACTACTTGTAAAGTTGGCGCTAACATCGTGAGATTGCGTTTTCTCTTTTTCATAATCTAAACGTATTAAAGTACGGCCTCGTTTCGGATTCGAACAACTTGAATTACTAGTACTACTCGAGCAACTAACCATGGAACTGGTAGACGCAGACGACGTGGAAGATGCTGAACGTTGCAAATTTACATCGCCAGAGCCACGTATGGGTATGATAGCACGATTGCTACTTGTTGAATTGGAGGCAACCATAGATTGCCGACTGAGCAAATTATTGATTTTATTGTGCTGCTGTGTTATTTCATCCACCGGACTATGAGGGCTACTGACATTAATGGTTACCGTATTGGCTGTATTGCTGATAACCCTAAGACCTTCGTGTTCTTCTAGCTTTGCAACCGAACCGTCCGTTACGACCACTGAGGATTGATAGAGAGGTGTAGAGGCATCATCACAGCTCAAATTTATTGTGGAGTAACAATCATCTCCATTTATTAGAATTGATGTTTTCTTTTGCCCGCAGTCTGATGAGGTATCATAGAAACTTCCATTGGTATGCGAGTACCAGTCAGAGTGAAGTATTTGAGGCGTTAGAACGGGATCGGTGTGTGTTATTTTTAAACGATGAATTTCTTGTAAATTTTTATTAAATGGCGCCACACGTACCACCGTACGCTGTGGTTTAGATTTTTGCGGTGTCGAGGTAACTGCTGTCACGATTGTGGGAGAGTCAAACGGGTTTATCATTGTAGTCGTTGTGTTGCTTATAAAAGTTTTTGTTTTGTTTAAATTTTGAATATTTTGTGGCAGCAATTGTTCTTTCCCGTCTTTGTTATCTGATGGCAAGTTAACTTCGTTGATTCCTGACGAGGATACTAAGGATTGCAATGTAGAATCGTTACCATCAATTGTTTGACGTTCTTCATGGTGCCGTTGTAATAAATCTCCCTTATTAGTTGGCTGAATGAACGAAGGGTTTGGTGATGATGATTCAATTGTTTGCTCCTCTTCCTTATATGCATCGACAGCTGTAGGCATTTGTGGCGTAACATTTGGTTTAGATGTATTCATTGTTAATGGCTTACTCGCAGTTAACACTGTTGCATGCGATGATGCTGTTGGCAATGGTGGCGGTGGAGGTGGCTCTCGAGGTCTTCCAAATAAATCTCTAGCATCGCTACGGCTTGGACGACAACGTAATGCCATTGTGTCTTTAAAATTTACACTTATTGAAGTGCAGGTGGGAGGATCCATTTCACCGTTTTCTTTGCAACTTTCATTATAACAAATATATTCAACTATTGTCAATTTATTAATGTCCTTGCTGCTGCTTCTATTGTTGCTAAGAAGGTGACGTTGTTGTTGATGATGATGATGATGATGATATGACGGTTGCCTTTCACTCTGCGAGCGTCTGACTGCTGTGCAGCGTGTTTGTGTGACTTGTGGTTTTGTGTTTATGGTCTTCTTATCGGTTGCCTCAAGTGTTTGCATATCCTTTCTAATGCTTGTAGAGTTTTTCTGCTGCTTTCCTTCCCCTTCTCGAAATTCGATGGCAATATCGTCAGTATCATTTTCTGTCGTTGACATTTTAGCTCCTGAAGTGAAAAAAGAAAAATATAAGTTAGTTTATAGAATTTATACCCGTCGTGCGATGCCACTGCGCTGATACTGATACGTTGATTATAATATGGGATAGTAATGTTGATGATGATTATGATGATGACAATGGTAAAGAAAATGTCACTTTAGATAAACGACATGTTACGTGAGTACGCAGTGATAGGGTTTTATATAAACCCTTGGTTATTTTCTTATTTTCAACGGAGGTTGAATGTGATTGAAAAACTATTTGAAATCGTTTAGCGCTTCAATTACTATTTCGCTTAAGTATTTTCTTTGGCTGCATTTATTGAAAAATATATGCAACAAATAAAATGTATATTTATTTGTAAGTTGCATTGAATGTCAACGACTGGCTATTTTTCATTTGTCCTCAACTGTATAAATAAAAATAAAGTTTCTTTTTTTTTTTTTTTTGAATTAAATCAATAACTGATGACTGAAGTAGGAGTATAACTAACTAAAAGAATAATTGAGGAAATCATAAATTAACATATATATAAATTTAAATTAATTACATATGCACTGTTGCAACTGCCTATATATACATAGATAGTCGATTAGAATCAGTATTTTTAATTAACGCGAAGGATTTGCTTGACTAACATTTAATTGAATTATCATGAAATACTGATAGAAGAAATGAAGCGCAAGCAAAAACAAATGAACCGACAAGCTATATATATATATATATTTATATTCTTTGCGAGAAGACCACAACATGCCAACATTTTCTACGAAATTTGTATACTAAACTGATATGTACATCGTTGTTAATGTCCTTCCATCCTCCCGCAGCTCTCTTCTAGTGGGTATCTAATAATTAAATATCTATACACAGCCCTTTATCTCTTCTCGGTATCTTTTTTTGCTAAGTCGCATTGCGACACACATTTGTATACAATTGTCTTATTTCGTGCATTGTGTTGCCGGGTAACTATGTTAGAATTAATTTAAGGTTTTCTTATAAAATAAAGACAAATAAGATAAATTTCTGGCTTTGTCATGTGTGTGATATGTGGCCACTTCGAAAAAGAAGAATCTAAACTAAATGATTTTAATTAAATTTTACTTAATACAAAAAAAAAGACCAAAACAAAAAACAATGCACGAGAAAAAATAAAATGACAAAGAAAAAGAAAAAGCGAGAAGAAAACATTGTATAATACCAAAAGTTTTGAATTACACAAAAAGATTGCAATCGAATAGTATTT